CAGAGTAACGATTCGACCAGTTACACAGTGTAAATTAATGGTTCTTACAAATTGACCTGCTAATTCATTGTGACACAAGTTTGCACGGGAAAGAGGAAACTGAAGAACTTAATTTTTATTTTTTCGCAGCATTGAGATACCTAAGGTTTGCAATGTTCCTGGCACTGCTAAAAGGAATCTTTGCCTTGGACAGTAAACAACGATGTTGTCTAACTAGCAAGATATTTTATTATGAGAAAAATTCTGTGTTAGAAGGCAAAGATTACTTGCTGAATAAGAAGTGAAAACGAAAGACGAAAATTTGGAGTTGCTGTAGTTATTTTAAACCCAACTGGTTAAGAAACATGTGCTTTTATGCATTTCAAAATTGTTACTCGATCAAAATTTAAGGGGATCAAATCATTGTAATTTCTTTCGCACTCTTTACACAAGAAATCTTGCAATAACATACAAGTTTGGTTTGCAATATTCTAATATGTCCAGAATTCCAATTCTGGACATGAAATTACCCTACTATGGACAGCCAAAAAAATTCTGTTCTTGTAAGATTTGGCACTCATGAAATGAAGTTGCCCCAATCTCGTTCCCAGAGCCCACGTGTATTTTGGTTGGCGCTGACCAAAAGACACGTGGGCTCTGGGAACGAGATTGCCATGTTTTAAACCAAGGCACGCATGCACCGTGAAACCGGAACTCCTAAAATCTTGGAGTCTGGAAATTGATTATTCCAGAGCTCCGTGTCTTGGCGCTGACCAAAAGATACGTGGGCTCTGGGAACGAGATTGAAGTTGCCCATAACTTCAATGACAAGCAAGTTATTATCGATTTTTTTACATTTCCCACTGTTGAAATGTTACCTCAGAGAGACTATCAAGTCTTGAGTCCCGTGTAGATTCTTTAACATACAGGNTGGTTCACCGCGGGAAAGCTCCCCAAGTTGACTCTCTGTTTCCTGTTAAACAGAGTAACGATTCGACCAGTTACACAGTGTAAATTAATGGTTCTTACAAATTGACCTGCTAATTCATTGCGACACAAGTTTGCACGGGAAAGAGGAAACTGAAGAACTTAATTTTTATTTTTCGCCGCATTGAGATACCTAAGGTTTGCAATATTCCTGGCACTGCTAAAAGGAATCTTTGCCTTGGACAGTAAACAACGATGTTGTCTAACTAGCAAGATATTTTATTGTGAGAAAAATTCTGTGTTAGAAAGCAAAGATTACTTGCTCAATGAGAAGTGAAAACGAAAGACGAAAATCTGGAGTTTCTGTAGTTATTTTAAACCCAACTGGTTAAGAAACATGTGGTTTTATGCATTTCAAAATTGTTACTCGATCAAAATTTAAGGGGATCAAATCAGTTGTAATTTCTTTCGCACTCGTTACACAAGAAATCTTGCAATAACATACAAGTTTGGTTTACAATATTCATCCAAAGAATTCCAATTCTGGACATGAAGTGACGTAACTATGGACAGCCAAGACAAATTCTGTTCTTGTAAGATTTGGCACTCATGAAATGAAGTTGCCCATAACTTGAATGACAATCAAGTTATTATCGATTGTTTTTACATTTTCCACTGTTGAAATGTTACCTCAGAGAGACTATCAAGTCTTGAGTCCCGTGTAGATTCTTTAACATACAGGAGAGGGAAACCATCTGTCAAACAAACAAAATTTCAATTCTTACCTATTTTCTAGACCCCAGAACCTACACCAACACAATAAATTTGACGAACGTAACCTGCTTGGAAAGCAAGGGCTCCTAGTTTTCTGTTTTCAATCACTGCGTGACCGATGCTAATTAAAGGGATGCTTATTTTAGGACTTAGATTGAATTTTCCAAACCTCCAAAGTCACATAACCCTTTTGCTCC